CCCCTCGCTCTTGGGAGCCTTGGTGTGCAGAGATTGTTGCGTTGCCGCCCGTTCCTGAGCCTTGGCTGGGCCTTGGTGTCAGGAACTTGTTACGTCACCGCTCTCTGCTGGGAGCCTTGGACTTATCAGCTTATGTACGTCACCGTTCGCTCTTGGGAGCCTTGGTGTGAAGAGCTTTTTGCGTTACCGATCGCTCTTTATTTGGCGTCTCTGGGCCTTCTTGGGAGTCCTATTAGGGCCCTTTTCGGGCCCTTTTGGAGGCCTCTTGGGAACCTCTTGAGGGCCTCTTGGGGCTTCTTGGGGGGCTCTGGGGGCCTCCTGGGGGCTTCGTGGGGCGAACGGCTAGACCTTTCGGTTCGTGGTACCCCTCCTGGGGCCGTCTTGGGGCCCTCTTGGGCCGTCTTGGGCGCCTCTTGGGCCGTCTTGGCGCCCTCTTGGGCCGTTTTGGGGGCCTCTTGGGAGCCTCTGGGGCCGTCTTGGGGCGGTCTTGGGGGCCTCTTGGGCCGTCGTCAACGCCATGAAAGGCGACAAGCCGTGTGTGCTAAAAAATGTATGTTTTCCCATCGGCAATCAATGATTGTGGCCTCCTGGTGGCCTCTTGGGACGCCTCTTGGGGCTTCTTGGGGGGCTCTTGGGGCCTCCTGGGAGCGTCTTGGAGCGAAAGGCTAGACTTTTCGGTTCGTGGTCCCCCTCTTGGGGCCCTCTTGGGCCGTCTTGGGTGCCTCTTGGACCGTCTTGGGGCCCTCTTGGGCCGTTTTGGGGGCCTCTTGGGAGCCTCTTGGGCCGTCTTGGGGCGGTCTTGGGGGCTTCATGGGCCGTCGCCAACGCCGTGAAAGCCGAAAAACCGTAGATGCTTAAAATATACGTTCCCTTTGGAAAACCACTGGTTTTGGCCTCTTGGGGCCCTGTTCGGACGCCCCTTGGGCGCCTCTTGGGGGCCTCTTGGGGGCCTCTTGGGCCGTCTTGGGCGGGCTCTTGGGCCGTCTTGGGGGGAAAACCAGAAAAACATGCAAAAACCCGAGGGAGAACGGTCACACATTGCCATTAAACCCATCCGCTCCCCCTACGCCCCCACCTGGAAACCCCTTCAAAGGCTTCGCCCAAAACACAACGTCATCACTCGTACCTCGTTCTTTCTGTTACTTGGGCCGGTACGGAAACGGAAAGAGCGCTGCAGCAACAGAAACCGAAATTACGCACACCACCGTTCGTACTGGGAGCCTTGGCGTTGAGAGCTTGTTACGTCACCCCTCGCTCTTGGGAGCCTTGGTGTTCAGAGATTGTTGCGTTGCCGCCCGTTCCTGAGCCTTGGCTGGGCCTTGGTGTCAGGAACTTGTTACGTCACCGCTCTCTGCTGGGAGCCTTGGTCTTATCAGCTTGTGTACGTCACCGTTCGCTCTTGGGAGCCTTGGTGTGAAGAGCTTTTTGCGTTACCGATCGCTATATTTGGCGTCTCTGGGCCTTCGTGGGAGTCCTATTGGGGCCCTTTTGGAGGCCTCTTGGGAACCTCTTGGGGGCCTCTTGGGGCTTCTTAAGGGGCTACGCCCCCAAAGGCCCCAAGACGACCCAAGAGGCCTCCAAAACGCCCAATATGGTTTTCAAGACGACCCTGAAGCGCCCCATGAGGACCCCCAGAGGGCCTAGGGAGGCTCCCAAGACAGCTTCCGACGCCGTAGCACGGGCCAAAGAGGACCTCAAGAACCCCCCGGAGGCCCCTGAGAGGCGCAAGGAGGCCTCCAAGAGGCCTCCAAGATGCCCCAAGGAAGCTTCCAGGAGGCCCCAAGAATGACCCAAGAAACTCCAATGAGGACCCAGGAATTACCCAATAATGGTCCTTCTCCTGATCCTTCACCCCTCCGTATCCTCATCCTCGTCTTCCCCCCCACGATGGCCCCGAAAGGCTTCCAAAACGGCTGGGAGAATGCATGTTCCAATAGCGTGGCCAGACTTTGCCCAAACGTGTGGCCACATAAGCGTATATTGAAAGGCAGGGGGCTGCGGTGTTTCGCCGTAGGCGTCTTCGATCTGATTTCGAAGAATTTGACCAGGGTGGGGATGTGTCGGTGTAGGCTTCCTTCACGGGTGGAGGATACGGCAGTTCTGCCATCACGAAAATGGGCTATTGGTGCCATTCGCTGTTGTTCCCTACCTAGGCTCTGCCTAGAAGGGTTCTTACTGTGTTCTCTTTAAGGGCCGGGCAGTGGAAACCGCCCCGGGCGGTTCCTCCGGCATCCGCCCCGTGGTTCCCCCAGTTACGTCCCCTTGGCTCAGCGTTGCTTATCTCATCTTAGCTTAACCTAGCTTAACTTAGCTTAGCTTAGCTGATCTTAGCTTCGCCTAGCCAAGCTTAGCTTCGTTTAGCTTAGCTTAGCCTAGCCTAGCTTAGCTTAGCTGAGTTTAGCTCAACTTAGCTTAGCACAGCACTAGCACAACATATCATAGCATAGCACATCATAGCGCAGCAGATCACCTCATAGCCTAGCATATCATATCACAACAACGCATACCATGTCATAGCTTGGCTTAGCATAGCACATCAACGCATATCATAACGTAGCATAGCATAGCATAGCATAGCACAGCGCAGCATATCATAGCATAGCATAGCGCAGCATAACATAATACAACATAGCATAACATAGCATATCATAGCGCAGCATTGCATAGCATAGCATAGCATAGCATAACGCAACCTAGCATATCATAGCATAACCTAGCATCGCATAGTATAGCGCAGCATAGCACAGCATAGCATAGCATAGCGCAACATATCATATAACAGCATAGCATAGCGCAGCATAGCATAGCATAGCACAGCCTAGACACACATCGCGCAGACTAGCACACCCTAGCATAGCTAGCTTGGCCTAGCATAGCATAGCCTGGCATAGCATGGCATAGTGCAGCCTAACACCCGCTACCACATTATCTTAGCTTAGCTTAGCTCAGCTTAGCTTAGCTTTGCTTAGGAAAAAGCAAGCAACAACAACATCAAGCAACAGCAACAACAAAAGCGAAGCAACAGCAACAGCAAAAGCACACGCAACCGCAAAGGCAAGGCAATGCAAATAAACAACACCAATGCGAACGTGTAGATGTAGATGTGGATGTAGGTGTAGGTGTAGATGTGGATGTAGGTGTTTATGTTAGATGTAGATGTAGATGTAGGTGTAGATGTAGGTGTAGATGTAGATGTAGATGTGAGTCTCGCTGTTGATGTTGATGTAGATGTAGATTCAGGTGTAGAAGTTAATGTAGCTGTCGGTGTAGATGTAGATGTTGCTTTCCTAGATGCTCCAACTCCCAGGTAGGGTCGCACTGGGATAAGTTTACCAGGGGACCGGTGGAAACTCCGATGGCAGGTCTATCCATGGGAGGGAGCTGTTGCAACTTCAGCGACACGAACAACATCACTATGATATGTCGCCGTTTTGGCTCAAGATGAAAGAAGCATCAGAAACTTACGTGTTATCGTCGACTGGAGTTGGCCTAATCTCGAAACGGCCCTCAGTAAGCATCTCGATAAGTGTGAAAGTGCTGCGTGAAAGGTGTACTCCAAACTACGCACTCATCGCGCAAAATCGTGCCCACACATGGCATCTAATCGTGTGTCGCTCGACCACGCAATATGAGAGGGATGCATGGGTAGGACTTACCCGTCTCTTCCTTCTTCTCCTCCTCCTCCTCCACCCAATTCACATCCTTCGCCCTACTCTGCCTTGTATCAATTCCGCGACCTCCCAAGCACTACGCGCGCTGGCAATGCGATTGTCTTCTCTACCCCTCTCCTCGTCCCACTGCTTCTCTCACTTCTCCCAACCTGTTACAACCACGCACGCTCTACGCAACGTTCCTTCTCAATTTCATGGGCGGGCAAATTCGAACGCGCCCGCCCATGAGAGCCAACACACATTCATGCGCTATTTCAAACATTATCCCCTGACAGACCCCACTCATCCGTGCAACGCTACAACCACACAGCGGTGCCACGCACACAAGCTACAACTTCAAGCGCGGTAGCGGATACTAGAGCATTAAGGGGGACAATGCATGGCATCAACATGCACTTTCGGAGGTCCGCGCGGATTTTCTTGGACCGACGCTGGACCCCACTCCCTGGGGCGCGGAGCGCGCTAGGGGCTGCGCCGGAGGCGTCGCCAGGGGGTTCCAGCGCCGATCCAAGGAATTCGCGCGGAGCTCCGGCAGTCTTCGCTTAGGAAGATACGTTCCAACCTGGAGCGCTGTAGCGGTCATGCGCGGCAGCGCAGCCTGATGGATCTGCGCAAAAGGAGCCTCATGAACCCGCTGGATGAACCAACGCAGGCAGGGCATAAAGTGCCCCTGCACCTCGACGGCCAATCAGGTCGGCTCATCTCTGTACGGATCTCCGAGGAATGGGCGAGGCTTCGCCGAGGGGGAGCAACCAGGGGGGCACTGGCTCAGGGGGGCTAGCATTAGGTCGGGCGTGTCCCCCTACAGGAAACTTTTGGACGAAAAATGAAACATAGCCGAAAAATGCTCAAAAGATGCCCCAAAGTATTAGAAATATGGTCCCCAGACTATTTTTTTACTATTTTTGAATATTCCCTCTTGAGAGGGACATGCCCGACTTAAGGCTAACATTGGCTTGGAATCGGCGATGCATCGCCGATAACTCGGCTAACTCGGCGCAGCACCCGAACCTGGGTGGGGCTATTAGGCCCCTCTCGGCGACGAGTGGGCGATCTGGGGCCAATGCCTTCCCCCCTAAGCTCATGCCCCCCACTAATGCCCCTGATGGGCCAGCATCGCGCCGCTGCCAGAGGAACAAAATGCAGCATAAGCCTAAACTGTTGGACCTCCGCGCGGAATTCTGGGATCTGCGCTGCCAGGAGGGGGCGCCGCCAGGGGCGCCGCCAGGGAATTTCGGCGCAGGTCGAGAACATCCTGGCGGGAATCCCCCAGCATATGCTTATGCGATCGTGTGCTCCTCGAGCGAATCTTGCACGGGCCCCGCCCTCTCAAACAGCGGCTGCCTCGGCCTTCCCGCACGGAGCGGGGGCCGGGCTCGGAGCCGGCCAGGAGACCTCCTGATCCCAGACCCTCACGCTCCGGATGCTGCCATGGAAGGCCTGGCTGCGGTGCTGGAAATGGCCGCCCACGATGAGGCGCGGCCTGTGCACCCGTGGCGGGGCCAGGCCCTCCCGGTTCTCGCCGACGAGCACGCCGTCCTTGAACACCTTCATGTGCCCGGTCGCCGAGGCCGTGCTCAGCAGGGTGATCTCCTGGCCACTGTGCGTGCCGGCGGGTGGTGGTGGGTGTGGCGGGTGCGTGTCCCAGCCGCGATCCTCCTCCTCCTCCTCATTCTCCGTCTCCTCCTTGCCTTCCTCCCCGTCCTCCCTCTCCTCCTCCTCCTCCTCCTCCTCCTCCTCCTCCTCCTCCTCCTCCTCCTTCTCCCTCTTTCCTTCTCCAGCTCGAAGAAGTTGTCCACGCGAACGCTGATCGGCTTTTTGCCATGGAAAATAGTGAAATGCAGATGCTCAGTTTGCTCGATGGCTCCAGCAGTAATGCTGTCCTCGTCCGCTGAGAGGGAGAAGTCGAATATGCGGCTCCAGTGGTCAATACTCTGCGTCTTCAAAATGCACATGAATGAGAAAGGTCCACCTAGACAGACATCGGCCTCTGACGCTAAATTTACAGGTGTCGCGCCGGTGAACTCTGGCACGTGCTCGATGAGGGGCTTCACATTGTCAAAAGGCAGCAACTTATATTGATGGTTCGGAGATTGATGTACGTACCTAGGTGGCTCCAGCGGAGAGAACACCACAGGAATCGGAATCGGCATGCCCGCGCAAACATGCGTCATGGGCTTTATCCAAGAGAAGTCAGTACCACTCTCGCACAAATAAACGCTGGCCTTCAATGAAGATGATCCAGTATACGGAACGTGCGGTATAGCACTCAATCCAACTGGTTTCGAACCAGCTGGTGGAGAGAGACGAAGAAGCAAGAGAAGAGACGCAGAGGGGAATGTGACGCACAAGGGAACGTGGTGGAGGGGAGAGAAAAGGCAGAGGATGATGCTGAAGAGAAGCATGATGGGCACGGCCGTCACATTCTAGAATACCTGACCAAACGAATACGTCTCTTGGGGAGGCGATACTTACTTCGGCCGCCCTTCACTGACGTTTCGCAAGCTTCCGCTGGCGACGCCGCCCTCGTTTTGCTTCAGCGGGCCGTCCACCGAGGAAGAGAAATCAACTTCTCGACCCTTCCAGCGCGAGGCCCCCTCCCGGAACGCGCCGTACGGGAAGGACGGGGAGGGCAGGAGAAGAGGGAAGACGAGGAGGAGGAGGAGGAGGAGGAGGAGGAGGAAGAGGGAGAGGAGGACAAATAAAGGAGGAGTGGGAGGAGGAGAACCACAACGAGAAGGCACGACGAGTGGACATTACGACCCTCGATACGCAGCCTTCCCAAACGCCCTGATCCCCCTCGAAGCCGCCTGGCACCCCGTCCCTTCTCCGTCCTCTCTCGCCCTTAAGAGCGCCAGCGCCATGGTGGTCCCGATGTCTCACGATACTCTGGGCTGCTGTTTTCAGCCACCTGGAGGAAGCAGAGAGCACTCGTTGGACATTTTAGCCTGCTTACTTTTCACTACATTAAGCTGCTGCGGGAGCGTCAGGGGCGATCCATCATGCTTCGCGGCCACTTTTTGGTTATGTTGCAGATATGGAAGCTAAAGGTGGTTGCCAAGATCGCAGTCTCCCACTTCGCAGGAGGAGGAGCAGCAGCAGCAGAAGGGATGATCAGGAGCACGAGGAGGAGAACGATCAGGAGGACGACGAGAAGCAGGGGAAAGAACACTTGGATGGGGAAGACATGGGATGACACCAGATGCCGACCGTAACCGTTGGGAGCCTTGGTATGATGAGTTGTTCATGTCACCGTGAGATAAAAATTGTTTGCATCACCGTCCGCTCTTGGGAACCTTGGCGTTGAGATCTGTGTACGTCACCGTTCACTCTTGGGAATCTTGGCGTTCAGAACTTTCCGCGAAACTGCTCGCTCTTTGGACCCTTGGCATTCAAAACTTCTTACGTCACCGACTCGTGTAACAAAACACTTTCCAACCACCTGGTGCTCTTGAGAGCCTTGGCATCCAAGCTGCATCCGTCATTGGGCCGTCGGGGGGGGTCCTCTGGGGGCCCTCCTGGGTGTCTTGAGGCCCTCTTGGGCCCTTCTGGGGTCCTCTTGGGGGGCCTGGCCGTCATGGGACCCTTTTGGGGCCCTTCGGGGATCTTGGCTGCCTCCTATGGCCCTCTGGGAGCTCTCCTGGGAGCCTCTCGGGGCCCTCCTGGGTCCCTCTTACAAGCAATCTGGCGGCTTGCGGTGGCCGTCCTGCGGCCCCCTTGTGCCGTCTAATGGCCCTCTCTTGGGAGCCGCCTGGCCCGTCTCGGGGCCACCTCGGAGGCCCTCAGAGCCGTCTTCGGCCGATCGCAGGCGGAAAAGGCGAGAACACCTTAAACAACGAAGCGCCTCAAAGAAATCAGCGCGCTTTGCCTCCGCAGGCCGTCTTGAGGATCCTCTTGGGACCATTGTGGGCCCGTCCTGGGGGCCTCTCAGGCTGTTTGAGGAGGCTCGAGCCCTCTTGGGGACCTCTTGGGACCCTCTTTGGGTCCTCTTTGGGGCCTCTTATGGCCCTTCTGGGGATCTCTCGGGAGCCTCTTGGGGCCCTCCCGGGCCGTCTTGGTGCCCTCTTTGGAGCCTCTTGGGGGCCTCCTGCGTCAGAGCCAGTGTCGGCCGATCCCCTAGACGACCTGATGAGGCAAGAAGCAGCAATTGTCCTAATAGCGTTTCCTTGCGTTTGGTGTTCTCGTTGTTTCGGTCCCACGCTCTCTTGGGAGGCTCGTTGGCGTTCCCAAGGCCTTTTGGTCTATCCTGGGGAACGTGGGCCGTCTTGGGGCACTCCCACGGCCCTGTTCGGCCCTCTCGGGGGCTTCCCAAGGCTTTCTGGGGGCTCTCTGGAAGCCCTCTTGGGCCGTGTTGGGACTATCTTGGGTCGTCTCGGGGCTCTCTTCGGGCCCTCATGGGCCGTCTTGGGGCGATCTGTCGGGCCTGTTGGGTCGTCTGGGACCATGTTGGGCCGGTCTTGGCCCGAAGAACGGAAAAGCATGACACCTGTCAGAGAACGACGGGCAACTTCTGCTGCTTCTCTCCTCCGGCCCTTTTGGGAGTCCTCTTGGGGGCCTCTTGGGGCGTCTTGGGGACTTCTTGGGCCGTGGCGAGGCCATCAAGAGCCCTCTGTGAGCGCACTTGGACCATCTTGGGGTCCACTCGGGTCTCTCTGAAGCCGTCTTCGGGCATCTTTTGAGGAACCGAACTTTATACACCGATGTTTTTTCCGGTCGCGCACTGAGATTCGCACGAGAAAGCGGATTATGGTGTATACGGCACCCTGGTGTATGCTTTTTTTGGTTTTTTCCACTGGAGAAACGGGGAAACACGTATACACCACACAACCCCGACGTCGTCCCCGACCTGCAAGAAAGTCCTGGGATTGAACAACAGCCCGCCACTGGTAATGTATACGTTCCAGTTTCCGATCTTTGGCAGTCTTCGAAGCCATGTGGGCCGTCTTGAAGCCTCCATGGCCGAAAGAGCCACCAACGTGACCCCAAGAAGGCGTGCTACAAAATTTCGCCGCCCCACGCCCCCCCCCCGGACCCGCATGTCGGACCAATCCCACCCGACTGGTATCAATTCAAACCAACAGGGCCACTTCTCAACCGGCCAGCAAAACAACTGGCATCAATTACTGCCAGTCATCTTGTGCCGACAATGGAACTCTATGTGCGGGACGCTCAACATGATTTAGAAATCAACAGCACGTCTTGAGTAAACACTCATCCTGGCAGACAACATAAGTGCCACGGTTGACAATGATACTAGTTTGCTTTGTGACATTTGGTGGTGCTGCTGTTGAAACTCAGCAGTTGTCGCCAATCTTACTGGAGCTTTACAATTGGCGTATGAGAACTGGACAGCTTTCGCATGACAGTTGCGTAAACCTTCGTGTTATTTGGTTTCATGTGAGAGCTGTGGGAGATCCATCAGCGAACAGGGAAATCCTGAAACTCCAAAAAAGTGGATATCCCTTATTCAATCAGACAGCTCCGAGTGGGACGCTCAGTGTACATATAACAACTTCAACTGTCAAGTGGAAACAGAAAGTCGGCTTCGTGCGTGGAAGTTGCACAAACGATCTGTTACGTGGCATCTGACACCTCGAGGGCTTACGTCGTATGGCGTGGGGCGGTGTACAGTGTACATCGTCTCTTCAAACTGCTCACGTAAGACTTATATTGCTTGCTCGTCGTGCATCATGTTCACTGCTGTGTTGCTTGTTGATTGGTAACATGTTGCTGTGCTCCGAATGCAGCAGGTATGTTCGTTTATTGCGTAACGCTACCTTAGTATACTGGATTTGCAACATATGCTATTTTGTATTTGCCGTGAGCATACAGTGAAGTGCCGCTTCATGATCTGGAAATGTCAATGCTTGCCAATCGGAATGACATTAGAGATGGGGGGATCCCGGCCTTCCGCACACTTATGATTCATTCTTCATGCAATTGAAATTCACAAGGACATGCGCTGATCCATATCAATTCAATTGGAAATGCGCCGACCACCTCCTCCTGCAGGATTTGATTGCATTTGTATCTGTCGCCCAATAAGACATTATAATAAACACGCTGGAGCCAGCACCCCGCACAGTTCAATCTTTTCCTGCTTGAATTTTAAAGCGAAGTTCGACAGGACACGCGGCGACCCCAGCCTCCCGCAACATTATGTTATCTTTCACGTGTTTGGCAACCGGGAGTCAGTAAAACACAGAGGAACCGACGAATCATGGGGGAAATCCGACAGGAATGCTTTCAGAGTAGAGGAATAATCCTTCAGGAGCCCACTTTTAAAACCTTAGGACTCATTCAGGAATTCTTGGGGAACCCCACACGGATTCCGATGAATCTCTAAGGAATCGAAAAGCATCCATGAGAAACCCCGAGGAATCTTCGATACACCCACGAGAGCCCAATGAAATCTCTGAGTAATCTCTGAGCAATCCGAAAGACAAAAAATCCAGAGTGCTCGGTCCCATGTTCCCCCGACCCCCCGCATTGCGGCTAAAACCCTGTACTCAACATCTCTCGCGGGTGCAGTTTCAATCATTCTACCTCTCTTGATATCCCCAGGCACAGGGGGGCCTAATGTGCCGCGAAAAAGAATTAGCGTATTTTGCTCGCTTGACTGTGGGACCCCCTTTGTCAAACGGGTAGTCGGCGACACTGCCCGTTCGCTTCCCTGTTTGACAGTGCGGATTTCAATGTAAAATGCGTCACCGGGTACTCTTGTGACAAAGCTGACAAATTAATTTCCACTGTTAAACAGATCGGAGCTCAGTTCCCCCACCTTGGTCTGCCCCACCCCCAATTACCCATTTGACTGTGGGTCCCTGCTGTCAAATTTGCAATCGGAGCTCAATTCCCCCGTGCCAATTTGACAATAAGCTTCACATGTCAACTGCTCCATCGGAACTCACTTTCTGTGAAGATTTCCAGGCTCGCCTCAACCCGCCTATCCCTTTCCTCTTTGCTCTCCCTCTGCCCCTCTCCCGTGCTCCCGCAACCACTGTGGGCCCAAGCCTGGGGCCCCAGGTTTTACTGCCTCTCGGGCGGCACGCGCCCGAGACCCGTGAGCCTGCCGGCACGCTGATCGGAGCAAAAGGGGTTGCGCCCACTCGGATTGCAGCAGAGCAGCAGATCGGAGTTCAAACTGGTCGCG